TTAAACTTAATTAAATCTACATGTTATACATTATATGTAACATTGTTTATAAAATAGATGGGATGCTATGCTACACTCTCTATGCTACACTCTCTATGCTACACTCTCTATGCTACACTCTCTATACTACACTCTCTATGCTACACTCTCTATGCTACACTCTCTATGCTACACTCTCTATGCTACTCTCTATGCTGCACTCTCTATGCTACACTCTCTATGCTACACTCTCTATGCTACACTCTCTATGCTACACTATGCTACACTCTCTATGCTACACTCTCTATGCTACACTCTCTATGCTACACTCTCTATGCTACACTCTCTATGCTACACTCTCTATGCTACACTCTCTATGCTACACTCTCTATGCTGCACTCTCTATGCTACACTCTCTATGCTACACTCTCTATGCTACACTCTCTATGCTACACTCTCTGTGCTACACTCTCTATGCTGCACTCTCTATGCTACACTATGCTACACTCTCTATGCTACACTCTCTATGCTACACTCTCTATGCTACACTCTCTATGCTGCACTCTCTATGCTACACTCTCTATGCTACACTCTCTATGCTACACTCTCTATGCTACACTATCTATGCTACACTATGCTACACACTCTATGCTACACTCTCTATGCTACACTATGCTACACTATGCTACACACTCTATGCTACACTCTCTATGCTACAATCATAGACTTCACCAGTTACGGTTAGGTTTGGCAAGATTCGTCAGGAAGCATGACAATTGTTTCCTGACCCGGGCATCTGCCCGAGACCTTCGGCTGGCTTACCGGTCCACTCCTTTAAAAACTGAAATTATTATTAATAATATAAGTTGCAGTTTCATTAGATAAAATTTTAGATATAATAACAGTGTTAATGCAAGATAGAAACTATTATAGAATTATTTCATAGGAATTCATTAGGCTCTCGTAATATTCTGAATTATTTCACTTAATGTTTATTAAAATTTTAGTGATTTCACTGAAAGGAATTGGTAGTTCCTTCTTTACATCATCTATTAAGGCAGATTAGTCTCTCCAGAGGATTAACTTTTATTATTATTATTATTATTATTATAATAGTTATAATTATTATTGTTTTCTTTACATGTAAATATTATATGATTTCGGAATAGACAAATATGTTCGATTTGACAAAAAAGGTGGATAGTTTCATATCCTCGTATAACTGGCCCATCAGCATCGTCAAGGATACCCCTCTGTCATGTATAACAATAATAGACTGAATTATTGCCAATGTTACGATCTTCAGATGATAGTCGCAGAAGGATAATTGAAACTCGAAGCAACTGCCAATCATTTCTCTTTATTGCGGAAACTAACCCACCAACCACAAAATACTTTCAACTTCTTCAGTGTAAAAGTTTTCTGAGAGTCGTTTTTTTTAATATTTTACATCACATCACACCAAAGTATAAATTATAATTTCTCAATATTTTTCTGTACACAAGTTACTGTATCTCTCTCTTCTCTCTCTCTCTCCCTCTTTCTCTTCATTCTTCTCTCTGTCGTTTTTCTCTCTTTTCTCTCCCTTTTTTCTCTCTTTCTTTCTCTCTTCTCTCTCTCCTTCTCTCTCTCTTCTCTCTCTCTCTCTCTTTTCTCCTCTCTCTTTTCTCTTCTCTCTCTCTTTCTCCTCTTTCTCTCTTTCTCTCTCTTTCTCTCTTCTCTCTCTCTTTCTCTCTCTTCTCTCTCTTCTCTCTCTCTCTCCTCCTTCTCTCTCTCTCTCTCTCTCTCTCTCTCTCTCTTCTCTCTACTCTACCCGCTCTATACTTATCTATTTTATCTTATTTTACATACACAAGCATACATATATATATATATATATATATATATATATATATATATATATATATATATATTATATATTATATATATATATATATTTTTTCTGAATCTAATGGAAAGTGTGGTCTCTTATTCAGACAATTCAGCTTTTATCACAAACAAAACTCCTTACGTTTATATACAGACGTTCTCACCTAGACATACTTTGTTATAATTTAACTTGAAGACACTCAATGCCCTGTGTATTTACACCCCGAGTAACTCAGTTCTCTATAACAGTAATATAGCATTGACTATAGCAACGTTATCCTTCTCTAAAACAGTGTTATCATTGTATATAAGATGACTTATCATTGTCATTTACAAGCAACTTTAACAGCAAGAGTAGCATGTACATTAATTGTATGTTCTTGCCTGAAAATTAATCTGTCATTTCACACTCGGTCTTGTTGGTTTTGATTTTTGGTCACCACTATTTTTTTGAGAGAGCATAAGAATTCTCAGCATAGTGTAACATGCACAAATGGTTCTGCAGTTCAGTAGAGCAGTAACAGGCAGATATGCTACTGCATGAAAATTCGGGAGGTAACAGATAGGTTTGACCCTGAAAAAAAAAAACATTCGTGCAGTAACAGGCAGGAGAGTGGAGAATCAGTCCTGGGAAACAGTCGGGAAATGACAGGCAGGTATTGTTTCGCAGAATCAGTGAGCAGTAACAGGTAGGTATTGTCCTGGAAAAACAATCGTACAGTAACAGGCAGGTATTGTCCTAGAGGATGAGTAGAGCAGTAGGATCACAGGTATGGTTCTGGACTATCAGTCGGTCAATAACGGGCAGATATGGCCATAGAGAATCAGTCGGTCAGTAACGGGCAAACATGGCCACAGAGAATCAGTGGGACAGTCGTTTACAGGTTATACAAAGAGTAAACAGTCTTGTAACTTCCACAAAAAATAACATGTGATATAGGCAGTTATTTGTAGGCTCACAATTTTGCTATAATATAATAAAATATAGAAAAATCACAATTAACAAAGGCAAACAGCAAGTTGGATATAATTGTAATAAGTAATTATCACAGTAAAGGTCACTTCAAGTCGTTACGTCACTTTCACAAAGCGAGCTAAACTTACTTCAGTTTTCGGAGTCATAAGTACACTTGCCACATTATTAAGCAAATTTATTGATAAAAGACTTTTAAAATGAAAAGAGCAAAATTAAATAAAAAGCGTTTTGGATTACAAAATATAAAAGTAGATCAGAGATGCCACGCGAAAATTTATGCGAGTAATTAATAATAATTCGGCTAATTTAGAATCTGTGAAATAAAGGCGATTCAAGTTAATCTAAGTTATCTTACTGCGGACATAAGGATAAATCGAGTAATGTAGGATAATTAAAGCACTCATGTCTGCCTTAAATGATTCATGTCTTACGTCTGCCTTAAATGATTCATGTCTCATGTCTGCCTTAAATTATTCATGTCTCACGTCTACCTTAAATGATTCATGTCTCACGTCTGCCTAAATGATTCATGTCTCACGTCTGCCTTAAATGATTCAAGTCTCATGTCTGCCTTAAATGATTCATGTCTCACGTCTGCCTTAATTGATTCAAGTCTCACGTCTGCCTTAAATGATTCATGTCTCACGTCTGCCTTAAATGATTCATGTCTCACGTCTACCTTAAATGATTCATGTCTCACGTCTGCCTTAAATGATTCATGTCTCACGTCTGCCTTAAATGATTCATGTCTCACGTCTGCCTTAATGATTCATGTCTCACGTCTGCCTTAAATGATTCATGTCTCACGTCTACCTTAAATGATTCAAGTCTCATGTCTGCCTTAAATTATTCATGTCTCACTTCTGCCTTTAATTATTCATGTCTCACGTCTGCCTTAAATGATTCATGTCTCACGTCTGCCTTAAATGATTCATGTCTCACGTCTGCCTTAAATGATTCATGTCTCAACGTCAGCTTAAATGATAAGTTACGTCTAAATGATACTGGTCAAGTCTTGCACTTAAATTTTGTGCTGTCTGCAAAATATTATGGACACGTCAGCTTAAATTGTCCAGGAGACTTTTCAAAGTACACCTTAATGATTAGTTCATGTTGTTGAAATATCATGTCTCACAGTCTGCACATTCAAATGTTGTTCACTCTCTAAAGTCATGTCTCAGTCTGCCTTAAGGTTGTCTCAAGTACTTAAATTTCTGTAGTTGCAATTAATGATATGTCTACGTGAGCTAAATGTTTTTTCTCAAGTACTTAAATGTTGTTGAGAGCTGCATTAATAATTCATGTCCACGTCACTTATGTTCATCTCATGTCTGCTATGAAGTCATGTCAAGTCATCACGTCTTTAATGATAAATCAGGTAACAATAGAACATTAATATCAGTTTTACCAGATATAACCATAATACCTTTAACAATTATTTGTGTCAGACCATAATAAAAAATATGAAAAAATCCATAGATTTGCAATATTTGTGTTTGTAGTATGTGTGTGTGTGTGTGTGTGTGTTTGTGTTGTGTTTGTTTGTTTGTGTGTGTTTGTGTGTGTTGTGTGTGTGTGTTTGTGTTGTGTTGGTTGTGTGTGTTTGTGTGTATTCGCCAATGAATAATGACACTATTTTACACTTGACATGATAAGGATTCTGCACAGTAGCTACATGATGGCACTCGCTATTACATTTTTATCATGACCATAGATATACATATGAGCGTACATGATATATATAGTAATATATTATATATATATATATTTTATATTTATTATATTTATATATGATATATATATATGATAATATATTAATTAATATAAGATATTAGCAAAACAACCACTGTGAAGAATGAGAAATTCCAAGCGCTTTTCGTGACTACTCACATTATCAAGGAACATGATTGTTCTTTGATATTGTAAGTAGTCACGAAAGCGCTTGAAGCTTCTCTATTCTTTCACAGTGGTTCTTTTGCATATTCTGAAATCACCTGTTTACTGTGATCTTATTGCATGTATGTATGTATGTATGTACATATATTTGTGCGTGTGCTTGTCTTTCAGTCTCTGTGTCTGTGTGTGTGTTGTGTTGTGTGTGTAGTTGTGTGTGTGTGTGGTGTGTGTGTGTGTGTGTGTGTGTGTGTGTGTGTGTGTGTGTGTGTGTGTGGTGTGTGTGTGTGTGTGTGTGTGTGTGTGTGTGTGTGTGTCTGTGTGCGTCTGGATAGGAACACAGTAATATAACATAACTTATACCCGCCACTAGGAACATGAATTCTTGTATGAGTGGTCTTCATCACTTATCTCGAAGCTGCGTCTGGTTTCGTCAATTCTCGGAGTGACTTCCACGTCATTTTCTGCCGACTGTACTATTCTGCATGTTCCTAAGTCACCGATGCAATGCTATAAATTTTCACAAGCAAGAGTCTTAGATCTTCCCAGCTGTTAGGGTATGTAGCCAGTAACATGGAAAAACTATGTTGCAATAAGCAACATGATTTTACACAAGAAAATACACTTGTTAATACATCAAGTACAGATACGAAGTATAGAGTTCCTTTGTATATTTTTTGTTTTACGAAAATGTACAGGATACGAGTGTATTAACAAACCAGGAAACACGTTATTCCATGAGCCTCAAATCACTCAATTTGTCTTTGAGCGAACTAAGGGAAGACAGATTCCCATTATTTCTGTGGGAATTCTTCTGCCACTGCCAGAGGAGGGTCTGTTGAAAACCTCGACAGTTCTAGCCATCACACCGCCTTCACTACGTAGCCCCCTTCTGTAGATATGCAGGAGTACCACTGTACTACACATCAGGCGCTCCGTAGCCCCCTTCTGTAGATATGCGAGAGTATCACTGTACTACACATCTGGCGCTCCGTAGCCCCCTTCCGTGGATATGCCAGAGTATCACTGTACTACACATCTGGCGCTCCGTAGCCCCCTTCCGTGGATATGCCAGAGTATCACTGTACTACACATCTGGCGCTCCGTAGCCCCCCTCCGTAGATATGCGAGAGTATCACTGTACTACACATCTGGCGCTCCGTAGCCCCCTTCCGTAGATATGCCAGAGTATCACTGTACTACACATCTAACGATCCATCTGCCTTTACCTGCAGTGTTGTTGTCTCATCATCTAAGGAGGAGGAGAGGCAGCAGTGGCAGTGCAAATGAGAGAGAGGTAGGCAGCAGCAGCAGTAGGAAGAGCTGCAGCGTTTCGGGTCTTCCCGTCGCTCCGCTGCTGATGTTTGACGTCGACACCGACGACGAAGATGCGGATGATGACGATGACGCCGACGATGATGAAGACGACGATGATGATGATGACGATGATGCCGATGAGGACGCTGAAGACGCTTCCTTCTCCGTGTTCGTCTCCTGCTGAAGTCCAGCGGGGTTTTCCTCTGAATATATAAATTAAAATTTAAACTTATTGATTCATTTACAAAATTATAATTTTTTTTATTTATATTGCTTAATAACATAACCCAGAGTTAGAAGACGGATTCCATATAGCTTCCAACACTTAAGCACATCAAACACACACACACACACACACACAAACACACACACACACACACACACACACACACACACACACACACACACACACACACACACACACACACTGGCTGCAGTGGCCAGAAGAGCTCATGCATGCAGGGCAAAGCTCCTGATCATGGGTGACTTTAACCACAAGGAGATCGACTGGGAGAACTTGGAGCCGCATGGGGGCCAAGATACATGGAGGGCTAAGATGATGGAGGTGGTACTGGAAAACTTCATGTACCAACACGTAAGTGACACTACAAGAGAGAGAGGAGAGAATGAATCAGCAAGGCTGGACTTAGTATTCACCTTGAGTAGTGCAGATATCGATGACATCACATCTGAAAGACCCCTTGGGCCAGCGATCATGTGGTTTTAAGCTTGGAATACACAGTAGAGCTACAAGTGGAGGGAGAAGCAGGAAGGCCAGGACGAATGAAGCCAAACTACAAGAAAGGGGACTTCACGGGAATGAGGAACATCCTGAACGGGGTTCAGTGGGACAGAGAACTGGCAGGGAAGCCAGTTAATGAGATGATGGAATGTGTAGCAACAATATGCAAGGAGACTAAGGAGAGGTTTGTACCCAAGGGTAACAGGAATAATGAAAAAGCCAGGATGAGCCCATGGTTCACCCAAAGGTGCAAGGAGGCAAAAACCAAGTGTGCTAGGGAATGGAAGAAATATAGAAGGCAAAGGACCCAGGAGAATAAGGAAATCAGTCGTAGAGCCAGAAACGAATAAGCACAGATAAGAAGGGAGGCCCAAAGACAATATGAAAACGACATAGCAGCGAAAGCCAAATCTGACCCGAAACTGTTATACAGCCACATCAGGAGGAAAACAACAGTCAAGGACCAGGTAATCAGGCTAAGGAAAGAAGGAGGAGAGACAACAAAAATGACCATGAAGTATGTGAGGAACTCAACAAGAGATTCAAAGAAGTGTTCACAGAGGAGACAGAAGGGGCTCCAGAAAGACGGAGAGGTGGGGCACACCACCAAGTGCTGGGCACAGTGCACACAACCGAGGAAGAAGTGAAAAGGCTTCTGAGTGAGCTAGATACCTCAAAGGCAATGGGGCCAGATAACATCTCCCTATGGGTCCTGAGAGAGGGAGCAGAGGCGCTATGTGTACCACTAACAACAATATTCAATACATCTATCGAAACAGGGAGATTGCCTGAGGCATGGAAGACAGCAAATGTAGTCACAATCTTTAAAAAAGGAGACAGACATGAAGCACTAAACTACAGACCAGTGTCACTGACATGTATAGTAAGCAAAATCATGGAGAAGATTATCAGGAGAAGAGTGGTGGAACACCTAGAAAGGAATGATCTCATCAACAGCAGCCAACATGGTTTCAGGGACGGAAAATCCTGTGTCAAAAACCTACTGGAGTTCTATGACATAGTGACAGCAGTAAGGCAAGAGAGAGAGGGGTGGGTGGATTGCATATTCTTGGACTGCAAGAAGGCGTTTGACACAGTTCCACACAAGAGATTGGTGCAAAAACTGGAGGACCAAGCAGGGATAACAGGGAAGGCACTGCAATGGATCAGGGAATACTTGTCAGGAAGACAGCAGCGAATCATGGTACGTGGCGAGGTGTCAGAGTGAGCACCTGTGACCAGCGGGGTCCCACAGGGGTCAGTCCTAGGACCAGTGCTGTTTCTGGTATTTGTGAACGACATGACGGAAGGAATAGACTCTAAGGTGTCCCTGTTTGCAGGTGACGTGAAGTTGATGAGAAGAATTCACTCGATCGAAGACCAGGCAGAACTACAAAGGGATCTGGACAGGCTGCACACCTGGTCCAGTAATTGGCTCCTGGAGTTCAATCCCACGAAGTGAAAAGTCATGAAGATTGGGGAAAGGCAAAGAAGACCGCAGACGGAGTACAGTCTAGGAGACCAGAGACTACAAACCTTACTCAAGGAAAAAGATCTTGGGGTGAGTATAACTCCAGGCACATCTGAAGAGCACATCAACCAAATAACGGCTGCAGCATATGGGCGCCTTGCAAACCTCAGAACAGCATTCCAACATCTTAATAAGGAATCGTTCAGGACCCTGTACACCGTGTACGTTAGGCCCATATTGGAGTATGCGGCACCAGTTTGGAACCCACACCTAGCCAAGCACGTAAAGAAACTAGATAAGTGCAAAGGTTTGCAACAAGACTAGTCCCAGAGCTAAGAGGTATGTCCTACGAGGAGAGGTTAAGGGAAATCAATTTGACGACACTGGAGGACAGGAGAGATAGGAGGGACATGATAACGACATACAAAATACTGAGAGGAATTGACAAGTTGGACAAAGACAGGACGTTCCAGAGATTGGACACAGTAACAAGGGGACACAGTTGGAAGTTGAAGACACAGATGAATCACAGGGATGTTAGGAAGTATTTCTTCAGCCACAGAGTAGTCAGTAAGTGGAATAGTTTGGGAAGCGATGTAGTGGAGGCAGGATCCATACATAGCTTTAAGCAGAGGTATGATAAAGCTCACGGTTCAGGGAGAGTGACCTAGTAGCGATCAGTGAAGAGGCGGGGCCAGGAGCTCGGACTCGACCCCCGCAACCTCAACTAGGTGAGTACAACTAGGAGAGTACACATACAGGGAAAGAGAGGACCTAGCAGCGATCAGTGAAGAGGTGTGGCCAGGAGCTGAGTCTCGACTTCTGCAATAACAATTAGGTGAGTACACACACACACAACACGCACATGATGGAATATGTGAACCAAATATGCAAGGAAGCTGAGGAGATGTTTCTACACAAGGGTAACAGAAATAACGAGAAGGCCAGGATGAGCCCGTGGTTTACCCAAAGGTGTACAGTGGCCAAAACCAAGTGTGCTAGAGAATGGAAGAAGTATAGAAGGCAAAGGGCCCAGAGGAATAAGGAAAGCAATTGTAGAACCAGAAATGAATATGCACAGGTAAGAAGGGAGGCACAACGACAATTCGAAGATGACATAGCAGCGATAGCTAAATCTGACCAGAAGCTGTTCTACAGCCACATCAGGAGGAAAAAGACAGTCAAGGACCAGGTAATCAGGCTGAAGAAGGAAGGAGGAGAGGTCACAAGAAACGACCGAGAAGAATTCAATCAGACAGGAACCAGGCAGAACTACCAAGGGATCTGGACAGGCTGCAGGCCTGGTCCAGCAACTGGCTCCTGGTATGCAACCCCACCAAGTGCAAAGTCATGAAGATTGGGGAAGGCCAAAGAAGATCACAGTCGGAGTACTGTCTAGGGGGCCAGAGACTACAAACCTCGCTCAAGGAAAAGGATCTTGGGTTGAGTATAACACCGGCACATCAACCAAATAACTGCTGCAGCATATGGGTGAATAGCATACCAAAGAACAGCATTCCAACATCTTAATAATTAATCGTTCAGGACCCTGTACACTGCGTACAATAGGCCCATCTTAGACTATGCAGCACCAGTTTGGAACCCACATTTAGCTAAGCGTTTAAGAAAACTAGAGAAAGTGCAAAGGCTTGCAAGAAGGCTAATCCCGGAGCTAAGGGGTATACCCAATGAGGAGAAGTTAAGGGAAATCGACCTGACGACACTGGAAGACAGGAGAGAGAGTGGATATATGATAACGATACATAAAATACTGAGAGGAATCGACAAGGTGGAAAGACACGATATTCCAGAGATGGGACACAGCAACAAGGAGTCACAGTTGGAAGTTGAAGACTCAGATGAATCACTGGGATGTTAGAATTTCATCAGTCACAGAGTTTCCAGAAAGTGGAATAGTCTGGGAAGTGATGTAATGGAGACAGGATCCACACACACACACACACACACACACACACACACACACACACACACACACACACACACACACACACAGCACAGAAACAGAAACAGCACAGAGACAAAGATATTACAGAAGTAGCATCGGCAATGGCTACATCAAAGACAGACAACAGGTCTGAAGGAAGCATGGAAACTAAACTGTATGCAGAGGTCCTGTCAAACCCACATGGGGCCAAAACAAAGACAGGGAGCACACTAGGACAGAATGAGAGGTTGGAAGACATTGAAGGAACTAGGACATGTGCAAGGACCTTACCAGATACCTGTGGGGGCCAGGAGCAGGTGAGCAGGAAGGATAAACCAAGAAGCATAGGGGCAATAACTAGGGAAGGGACTGAAGGAAGGAACACTCCACGGGAAGGAACTAAAACACATCAGAGGATGCAATGGGAGTCACAGTGGGAGGTGGAAAGGGAAAGATCCGTGTTTGTCTATGGGCTAGACGAAGCTAAAGGGGAAACTTATGATGAAAGAAAGCAGGAGGAGAAAAAAGCGATTGAAGATATCATGAAGGTGATAGGCGAGGGGGACATGACCCAGGTGGCAAATTTTCGGAGAATTGGGTGGTTCACAAAGAAAAGGAATCGGCCTCTCAAAGTAATTTTCAAGGCAGAATCAACCCGAACTATGATCCTGCAAGAGAAAGCACGGCTGAGAGGCAAGCAGGAGTTCCGGAGTGTGTACCTCGATCGAGACAGAACACAGGACGAAAGGAAGACAATGAAAGAGAGAGTTCAAAAACGAAAGGAGAAATGGGAGGAAATGAAAAAGGAGAGCAGAATAATCCAGGATCAAATGGAAGGACAAGCGCACCCCCCAGAAACACCTGCAGAAGGACTCCAGCCACGACACCCCCAAGGCAACTGAACAATCCAAACCAACCATCACACACCGATCCCTCTGTTTCCACCCCCCGCACCACAGTTACAGTATTAGAACAGAAGTTGAAGGTTTGGTACAAAAATGCAGATGGATTAACGAATAAACATGAGGAATGGCAAGAAAGAATC